CAATCGCTAAACAGTATCCGCAGCCCAAGCCAAGGGCCCCGAGGAGCTGAGAGCTGGCAGCCCTTGTCAACTGCCTCCTGGGTGTTCATTTGTGTGTGTATGATAGGTTCCTGGGCTTGAACCTGATCCCCAGGCAGGTGTCTACCTTTTGGTAAAAAGGTTCCAAGTTCTCTCTGCCACACGAAGCCACCTCTTTGTGTCTAAAAAGCCACCTCTTTGTGTCTGAAAAGTGACAGAGGAGAAAAGAAACAGTTTGGGCTGAGCAAAGTTTAGTTACAGGCAGTGGTGTTGGCCCAGACTCTGAGTGGCCATGGCTGGGTGAGGAAGGCTGAGGGGAGGAGACGGAGGCCCAGCTTCAGGCTCTGACTGCTTGTGTCCTTATTTCGGAGAGCCACCGACAGAAGCCATTTATGTGGCTTGTCGTCTCAGCTGTTGGGGAGAAGTTTGCCACCCTCAAGGTCTCAGACAAGGAGTAGCCACCAGAGCGGCAGTGACAGGACCCGAGGACTCAAATGTACTTAAAACCCATGGCACTGTAGTTTAGAAAGAAGGCGATTTTCTTCTTCTTCTTCTTCTTCTTCTTCTTATTATTATTATTATTATTATTATTATTATTATTATTATCCTTCTCCTCCTCCTCCTTCTTCTTCGTCTTCTTCTTCTTCCTTTTCCTTTTCCTCTTCCTCCCCTTCTCTGCAGCCACCCACCCCATACCCCAAGATGCTGGAGAACGTCATACTCCTGGGTTTCTCATTCTCCTTTTTGGCAGCCTATCTTGTGGAGGCTAATGGTCAGGGGCCGGAGCACTCCAAATGGATGTAAGGAACCAGTTGCAAGAATCGTAAGGGATTACAGTTACGGTTAATTATGGGCCGGCACAGAAGGGGTCTGAAGCATGCAGTGAACAGAGAGGCTTAAGCATGAGACGCTCTACACTTCAACCTGGCACTCCCAACCAACAGGCGCCAGCCCCAAATGAAGTTGGCCTTTGTTAAGGGAAATCACCCAGCCTCTCAAACCCAGAACTGGCTTTCTCAGAATGCCTGGCTGATAAGGGCTTTGCACCACTTGCAACAGGTCGTAAAAGCATGGGTTGGCTTCTGTATGTAACCCTGCCATATCCTGAGGTGGTGCCAAGACTTCAGGAAAGTCTGCAAAGATTCCTGATTATATCCTTGGTCCTCCAGGTGGAGGCAAGCTGGGACACCTTGGCCCCACCCTGGCCTCCGCAATTAGCACTAATAGGGATTGATTAATTACGTCCGGGGCTCAAAGTCCTATGGCCACAGTTGCCCAGCCTACCTTGTGTGTCCCACATGTCCCTGACAGGGGGCCCTAGTGGCCCTTCTGTGAGGATGAGGAAGGTACACCCGTGACCCTGCTGTGGCTCCAGGTGCAGAGTTCATGCTGGTGGGAGGGTCCCAGAAGGCTCTGTCTACAGAACCGGGAGTAGAGGTCCCTGGAGGCCCGGTGAGCCCAGGAGCAAAGGTGTGGGAGGGTGTGGAGTCCCAGGACTCCCCCAGGCCCTCGGAGGGGATTAGGGAAGGGAGGCTGGGCAGACCCTGGAGCCAACATAGGAGTCAGGAGGCTCGCTGGTCCCAGAAACGGGCTTAGTGGTGGACAAGAGCAGGTCCCCGGAGGACTGGCTACCTTGCAGAACCAGAACTTGTGGTGCAGCTCCTGGTTCCTCCAGGCCAGAGAGAAAGGGGGTAGGATGTATATGGAGAGGAGCCTTGGAAGCCAGGCATCTTAACCAGGGAAGGCCGGCAGCCCGGGGAAGGTGTGTGTGGGAGGGGAGAGTGCTCTCCCCTCTGCCTTCCACCTCTCGGAATAGGCAGCCAGCAGCCAGTTGGTAGGAGGGACACACAGGGCAGCCATGGCCTCCTGCAATCCGGGTGATTACAGTTGGGAAGAAGGCTGGCTGGTGGCAAGCGCCAACTCAAGGACCTCGTGGGGCCAAGCTCTCATCCCCACCCCCCTCCCTTCAGCCCTTGTACCCAGCACCAAGTCACCTGCCACGCTGGTGCTGAACCCTGAGCACGAAGTATGCACTTGCTGTGTGCTTGTGCCTGAGCTCTCTTGCCAGACGGAAATTTGAATAAGCTTAGTAACCGCTGGCACACGCCCACCCCTCAGGAGATACCTGTGTGGCCTCAGCTCCTCACTCTGGGGCAGCTGAGGGTGGGTCCTCTTCTGAAGCAATGTGGCATGAGTGTAAATAAGCCAGTCGGTTGCAGTGGGATGATGTGAAGCTGGGATCGTAGAAACCGTCAGTTTTATTCTTGAAGCCTGTTCGATCCCATTTCTGGTCCCCATCTTAAGACCTCTGCATTATCAACCTCCCCGAGAATAACCCCCAAGTATGGTGCCGCTCTGGACTGCTCTGCGCAGGAATGCCACACTGATAAGATCGCGGTGTGTGCCTGCAGGCTCCTGACTGCTGTCTGGTGTTCTGGGAGTGGCAGTCAGTGGGCACTGGGAATCCAGTGCCGCTCTCCTGTGTCCTCCAGTGGCTCACGGGTGTCACTCTGGAGCCTTGAGCCCTAATTAGGGCCATGTTCCTGGGAGGCGAGCAGCTGCCCCAGGCTCCCTTGGGTACCCATGGGGCAAACCTCAGCCAGGACCAGTGATTGGGAACTTAAGTGTTGTTTACTGTTTGTGGCCAGGAGAGTCACCACTTTGTCCCTCTGTCTTCTCTTAAAATGTTCTTTCTTCTGCCCTTCCTCCTGTCCTATACCGCTCCAACAGTGCAGAAGGCTAGCCTAGGGCGGCTTGTTGGGCCTGCAGGTGTCTCTGGGGCATTTCTTCCACTTCCAGACAACCCAACATCAGAACAGAGTCCAGAACACACACCTGCTGCAGGAGCCATGAGCTGCCCGAGAGAGAAAGGCAGCCACGCGCTGACACTCCCAGACAGTTTTCTGAGCCGCTGTGGTCGTAGAGGCCCAGGTTGAACATGAAGGGTAGGGCCTCTGGAGTCTGGGCAAAGTCAGAGAAGACGCGCACACACACATCCAAAACCACGCAAGCCTGCAGTGCTGTGACGGCTTAGTGTCCCAAATGGAGCAGCCCGACTTCATCCCAGGCAACAAACCAGGCGTGACTTCAGCTTTGGGGGAGACATGATAGCAAGCTGCAACCAACAGGGTTCATTCAGCTCATACTGCTGAAATGGACACAGCCAATGTCACTGTCTCAGCTCCAGGGCTCCATCCCTCCCTCCCCCCTCCCTCCAGGCCCGGAACTCTGTCCCCCCACCCCACCCCCAGACTCCAAACCCCTGTCCCCTGCTGGATGCAGCTCCTTGCAGGCATTCACTCCATCCCACCCTTGGCTTTCCGGACTCACAGCTGCCACGCTGGTACAAAAGTCACAGCCTGGTAGCATCCTTGCCCACAGGGCCTGTGCCCAGCTACGAAGCATCTTCACAAGCAACGAACACTCTGACCCCCCCCCCAGGTTCCCTATAGCCAAATGACTCATGCTCACATTGACAAGGGAGGTTTGAGAATGGACCGGAGCATTCCCAATGGGAAGTGACGGTAATGTGGGACATTTCCTAGGACATCCCTGGTCGGGCGGGGATGGTAACACCGAGTATCTCCTATCGTTTCTTTAGTTTTTTTAGATTTATTCATAAGAGTACTTTCCCTGATGTATGTCTGCGCACTGGATGCACGCCTGGTGCCGGAAGAAGTGGTGAGCCTTTGTGTATGTGCTGGGAACCGAACCCAGGTCCTTCACGAGAACAAGTGTCCTTAACCACCGAGCCAACCCTCTGGGTCCCACCTATCCTTCCTGTCAGAGCAGAATGAGACAAATTAAAATAGACTCGGTTCCTTTCCTTTCTTCATATACCACCAAAGTTCTGAGGCTCAGAAGACCTTCTTCATGGCCGAATCTGGCCAGTGGGATGGCTCAGCGGGCACTTGTCACCGAGCCTGAGGACCTGAGTTAAATCCTCGAGACCCCCATGGCGGGGGAAGAACCTACTCCCATAAGTTATCCTGTGGTCTCCACATGTTGCCCCCCCTCCCAACATACACAAAATAAATAAATATAATAAAATTTGTTTTAATTAAAAAAAAAACAGTTTGGGGGCTGGGGAGATGCTGTGGCCCTTTAATACAGTTCCTCGTGTCACAGTGACCCCCAACCACAAAATTGTTTTTGTTGCTGCTACTGTTATGAATCGTAATGTAAGTATCTGATATGTGACTCCTGGGAAAGGCTCCTTCGATCCCAAAGGGGTCCTGACCCACAGGGTGAGAACCTCTGTACTAGCGTATTCCCAGCACCCACCGGGCAGCTTGTAACTCCAGTTCTAGGGGATCCAATTCCCTCTTCTCCCTTACTCGGGCACTGAATGCATGTGATATATATACGTGCTAGTAAAACACTTGTACACATAATCATCTTTTTAAAAATTAGGTCAAGCAGGCTGGGAAAACCCACAGAAAGAGCTGACCTGAACAAGGGGGAGCTCATGGACCCCAGTCTGATTGCTGGGAAACCAGCATAGAACCGACCCAGACCCCCTGAATGTGGATGTCAGTTAGGAGGACTCTGGTAGTGGATCAGTATTTGTCCCTAGTATGCAAATGGACTTTGGAAGCCCATTCCACATCGAGGGATACTTTCTCAGCCTAGACACATGGGGGAGGGCCTAGGCCCTGCTCCAAATGATGTGATAGACTTTGAAGATTCCCCATGGAAGGTCTCACCCTCCCTGGGGAGCAAACAGGGGATTGGGATGGGGGTTGGGAGGGGCACAGGGGAGGGAGGGGGAGAGGGAACTGGGATTGACAGGTAAAACCAGCTGTTGCAAATTTAAATTTAAAAAACATTACTAAAATAATTAGGTCAAGTGACACCTCAGGCCACCCCCTCTATGAGTGACCCTGCAACTGCAGTGGTAGGGTAGAGGCTCATTGGGGACCTCTGTGGTGACGACATACAATGTCAGAGTTCATTCACCGTCTTCAATCTCTTTCTCTTAGATTTACTATAAAGTCATCAAGGACATTGAGCCTGGAGAAGAGCTTCTGGTGCATGTGAAAGAAGGTGCCTACTCCCTGGGTGTCATGGCACCCAGCCTGGATGGTAAGACCCTGCTGAGCTAGGAGAACGTGAATGGTGTCCCATCCCTGAATGCCGCCTGGCATTGCCGGCTGATGCCCTGGCTGAGTTTCTGCAGACCCCAAGTGTATTACTCAGGTTTCTGTCGCTATGGCAAAGACCATGAAGAAAAGCAACATGGAGAGGAAGGTCCGATTTGTTGTATATACCCCGAGTCATAGTTCACTGATGGAAGCCGAGGCAGGAACTAAAGGCAGGGAGCCGGGAACAGAGGCCACGGAGGAGTACTGCTTACTGGCTTGTTCCCCAAAGCTTGCTCAGCCTGCTGTCTTATACAACCCAGACCACCTGCTCAGGGATAAAACTACCTATGGTGGGCTGGACCCTCCCACATCAATCATTAATTTAAAAAAAAAAAAATTCTCCTAGGGGCCAGTCTGATGGAGGCATTTGATCACTTGAGATTCCCTCTTCGCAGATGACTCTGTCCTATAAAACAAATAAAATAAAACGAGAAAGCCAACCAGCACAACAGGCTGCCAGCCCCTTACCCCTGAGACTAGAGACCCCTCCCTTTCGTTGGAGACTCAACTCACATCCTAAGTGTAAGAGGGGCGTGAGGTAATATAGGAAAATTTGTATTATGCCGAATTACATCTATACAGTATTAGTACCCAGAAAACTAATTTTCTGTATGTATATGTGTGTGTGCTTATATACATATATGCACACACGTTTGTGCACACGCTTCAGGATATATGCATGTGTACGGGTATGTGTTGACATGTGTGCTCCTGCACACAGAGGCATATGGCTGCTCTTGGGTGTCTTCCCTGACCACTCTCCACTGTGTTTATTGAGGCAGGGTCTTTTGTATAAACTGGAGCTCACAAGTGTGACTAGCCTACCTGGCCAGCTTAGCCAGGGGACAATTGTCTCAGCTTCCTGTCACCGGGGTTACAGGCAGGCTGCCACGCCTGCCTGGCTTTTACGTGGGTGCTGGGGATCTGAACTCTGGTCCTCATGTTTGTGCTGCAAGCCTTTTATCCACTGAGCCATCTTTGCAGCCCCTGGATGACGCTTCAAGTGTATTATTATTACCGGGTTTTCGTAGTAAAAGACCCCAACCTAGTTTGGTGCTTGGGAGGCTGGGCAGAGCACAGCGCTCTCCTTTGTGAGCATTCCGTTACCTCTGAGATGAAGCCAGTTTCGCACACGCTGGGCATTCCGGCACACGGTTTATACTCTCTTGAGTCTGTGCCTGTCTACTTGGGGCCCTGGCACGGCTGCTTTCAAGAAGGCTGTGTTGGCATTGAAGAATCAGTCTGTTGGCCCTTCGATGTCACTGCTGACCAGGGGACTCAAGGGTGCATGCCTAATCTCTTGTGGGGTATGGGAGGCATTTCTGTGTTCCTGTGTGTGCAGGGTAGGTGCACATGTGTGGGTGTGCACGGAGAGGTCAGAGCAACCTTGACAGTCGTTCATCTGGTACTGTCTACATAGTTTGCACAACAAGGTCTCTTGCTAGCCTGGAGCTTGCAGTACTTAGGCAAGGGCTGGATGGCCAACAAGCCCCAGGGACCCTCCTGCCTCTGCCTACCTGCTCTGGGGTTAGGGCCAGTCACCATGCCAGCCTGTTGTGGAGATCTAACTCAGGACCTGTGCTATATAGCAAGCATGTTACCGGGTTATCTTCCCAGCCCGCATGTCTATCTTCCTTTTTAAGGCTAAGCTACCAGTAAAAATAACAATGTCTCCTAGATGTTTCTAGAACCTAGAATAAACCTATTCCCTTCTCTGTAAGGCCAGTGTCTCAGACTTCCTCAGGAGCCACAAGGGTTCTAAACAAACACCGGGGAACTGGATGCCCACTGTGTTCAGCAGAAGTCTCTGTGACCACCCCTGTGGAGCTTTGCCTCAGTTTACCTGTTGATGCTATGAGCCTGCCAGTGACCAGAGTGCCTTATTTTTTTTCTCCTGCAGTAATACATAGCTCTAAGTTGCCAGACAAAAAAATGGGGTATAAGGAACCATTGGACTAGCCAAGGTCCTCCGTCTCATCCTCTAAATTTTGGTTTTTAATTGGGCCATTGAGAAAACGAAAATGAATCTCCAAGACTTGCGCAGCGAGTGGGAGGTTTCATTGTGAGTCTTAGCCAGCACCCGAGAGCCCCCGAAGATAAATCGTCTGAACTCAGAGGAGAATCCTCCTCTGTGCAGTTCCACTCATACAGTGAGATCTGCTTCTCCAAAAGGTTCTTTAAAAGCCCTGGTTCTCATTCCCCACATACACACACACCTCCCACCCTGATATTAAATAACCCACTCTACATTTTCCTAATAACTGATCAAACATTTGTGAGCTAATTACTTTCCATACAAATCAAATATTTGACTTTCCTAACGTCTGCTGTCAAGATCACTCTTTTGCCACCCCAACAGCTACCCCCCAACACACACCCGAGTTAAACTCAGAATTGCACAGAAAGAAAATGCAAACGCGTCCCTCACTAAGATAATTATCATAAAAAAAAAATCTTTTATCCCGGCTCTGGCTAAATGCAGCCAGCCCCTTATCGCCACAGGAATTTGGAGTAGACTCTTGAGCGCTTTTGAGCTGGAGTTGTAGATTAGGATGCGGGTGCCGTGTAATTGTGAACCCCTCAGTCTCAAAGCCATTAGGCAGGGATTTATTTTTCTGTTACACTCCTGTTCAGCCCAGAAAGTTGCTGATGGAACTTGAGCTAGACAAGCGAGGTGCAGGGTTGACAGGCAGGTGTTGGAACAGTGTAATTTGGTGGAAGGTTGATCTACCCCAACCCAAGACCCCCACCACATTTAGACAGAATTTCTTTCCCAATTGCTCTTTCTAGTGCTTTTGTGGGTGGGGTGTCTGGAGGTCTTGTGGGAGCCCTTGTGATGAGGAGGGAATAGAACCCTGGTTTGCCTGCTAATGGGTAGGGAACAGTGCGGTTCCCCTGTACAGATACTCTAACAGCAGAGTTGGAGCCCTGTATAGACAGGCCAACTCAGCATCCTCACAGGTGGCCAGAGGGATGGGCAGATGCACGGCAAGTCACTCCTTAGTCAGGTGACATTATGATGCTTTGATTATTGGATGGAGGAGGAAGACTTTCCTTTTTCTCTTTCCTGAGAAGCACTTTCTGTTTGGAGAAAAGAAATCATTTGCATTCAAACACTCTCTTCATTTAGAAAAGCCTCCTGGCAACCCAGTTCCCCTCTCCACGCTGTGGCCCATTGTGTGGCGTGCACAGGAGAGACCCTGGCCATGATGGGCTGTAATAGACATAATATCGTTACAACCTGCCCTTTCAACAGTCCCTTAAATGGAATTTTGCGTGCTGGGAAAATAAAAAGGCCTTGCAGTGTGCCCCAGGTATGTGCCCAAGGCCAGACCTCCCTGCCTGGAAGAATCTAAGAGGCTTTACCACCTCACTCACCTGAGCAGAGGCATGTCTTGTCCCAAATCTAGCCTACAGAGACAAGCTCAAGTCCAGAAGGCACTGGGGCAGAGGAGAAGGGTAACGCTGCCGCCGAGGTCATTTGTGTCAGCTCCAGGGTGACTTCTAAGGCATCAAATGGGAATCAAGCTGAATTTTCTTATTAAAATCCCTACCTTTAAGGTCTAAAGCCCAAGGTGGCATATGACATTAATCCCAACACTCAGGGGTCTGAAGCAGGTAGATTTCCATGAGTTCAAGGCCTGTGTGGTCTACATAGAGAATTCCAAGCCACCCAGTGCTACATAGTGAGACCCTGCCTAAAACCTTAAGCCCGAATTTCAGATCAGAACTAGAAGCTTTGGCCAGCCAGTGATATGACCAGTGATGCCATGGTCCTCTTGAACTACTGTGACTTTTCCTCACTGAGTCTAGAGAGAGTGTGATGAAAAGTGATCATTTCTCATCCCTGATTTTCCGTGATCTGCTGGTCCATACCCCTCCTGCCTCCAGGAGCAGGCTCTGCAGAGCTGTGGGAGCCTCTGTGATAGCATGTGCCTAGTGTGCCCAGGCACAGGATCCTTCCTGGTGGGCTTTTGACCCTAAAAACCAGGCTTGGCATGAATACCTTCAAATGTTCATAGGCCTGGCTGTTGGTTTCATAATCCTCTCTGGGAAATAAGAGCCCTGCTACCCTGTATCTTGTGCCCAAAAGGTGAAAAGGGCAAGTCACAGCTGGCAGTGATGGAGCAGGGATACAGCACGTCCGTGGGTACAGTGTCTCGGCATGCTGCCTGCCCCAAAGGGCTCCCAGCAAGCCTCTATATGGGCATCCACAGTATTCACAGCCCAATGCTCTGAGAGGAGCCCCTCTTTGAATTGTAGTTCATTCCCTCTGTAGACACGGAAGGTGGTTCCTCTGTGTGTGAATCTCCTGTGCCTGCCTCCTCCCCACCCGATCCTGTGAGTCATGAGGTCCCACTCTGGCACCTAAGGAGGAATTCAGGGCCTTCCCTGGAGATGTTACAGGTGTAGACCTCCAAGCCAAGGCAAGAATACATGCCTTGTTTCCCCATCACAGCATGGCACAGCATAGCAGCACAGCAGAGCTATGTGTAGGAAAGAATTCCGCTGACCCAAAGCACCCACAGCACCTTCTTTCCACGGTCTCATTTTCCTCCCCAAAGAAGCTTCTATGCAGCTGAGGTAAGCCAGTGGGGCCAGGATGTCTGGACCCTGGAAATCAGAAGTGGTACCTCCCCAGCCAACCCTACACACACGTTCACTCCCTGGCATCTGAGCATTTCCCCTTTCCCAGATATGACCATCTGAGTGCAATGGTGTCGTGGTGGGCATCACCGCACAGGCTCAGCGGTGCATCTGGTACCCAGCCCTGCAGAGTCCCACCTTGGATTCTGAGTGCCTGGTACAGCCCACGATAGATACTCTAATGTCACCTCTACACTCCCAGTCAAGAGAGCTTCTGGGCAGCAGGAGAGGGTCTCTCCTTAGAACTCCTTGCTGCTCAGGGCACCAAGAAGCTAGCCATCTCCTGTAGACTCTGAAACACTTAGGTGCTTACGGTGGTGTCTCTGGTGAGCGTCGGGACCAGGAGCAGCACTGCCCCTGCCCTGATCTAAGTGCTTACTGTTAGACACCACGCCAGTCCTCATAACCACGCACATACACCTGCTGACATATTTACACATGCACACAGATACAAGCATACCCCACACACACAAGCATCTGTAAACAGAGACACACATTAGCATACAAATGCAAACCCCTAATGTGTGACCATTTACACGCAAGCATGTACAAAATTGCATACATGACACAAGACACGAATCCACACATGCACACACAGACACCTTACACATAATCATTCATGTCCACAGATGTATAGAACACATACAACCATGCACACACAATTCACAAAAATACATACAAAGTCTCATGAAGATGTTCATAAATACCTACATGCCCACTACATGTGTATTCAAATGTGAAGGTATGCTGACAGTTCACACATGCAGTTATGTTCGTAAACATGTGCCCATACTTACAAGTAGGTACACACATGTGTATATGCCCATTCACTAAAGTCTGGGTGCAGATGCCCAGGCATGGGCTCACACCCACACATGGCTTTGCAAACATGGGTGCAGAGGAGATGGGCTGCACACGAACACAGTTGCGTTGGATACACATCCACATGTAACTTCAGAGTACACACAGAATACACACACTTGTGCTCGTGTCCACGTGTGCACATAAGCCCTCTTTGAGGAACATTTGAGAGCAGGTGTTCTTTCTCCAGGCCTGGATAAAAGCTTAAGGGCCAGCAGCAGCGGGAAGGCGGGGCGGGCAAGGCGCAGAGATCCGCCCCGGTTACAGCTCCCGGCTAATTGTTTGGTTTGGCACTGTGCTCGGGATGCTGCCTCATAAACTTAATAATAGCTGCCCCCCCTTTAATTTGTTTGACCTTGACGACAATAATTTATTATATGCAATGGAGTTCTGCCTTCTTTTTTTCTCCTAATTCATAAACAAAGCACTTGGCCTGGCTTCCTTCTCCACTAAGAGGCAGGGGCCTCTTTGAATCCACAGTGGCCACTAGGGATGCAGGGAGGAGCCTGACATTGCTCAGTGTTTCCACCATGTGGAGATGAGGTCCTCCAGTGTGGCCTGATCTGTCCTGTGACCTCTGTGCCTCTGGGCAGCCAGGACAAGGGCTGGGAGGAAGCTGGGTAGGAGCAGCTGGGGTGAATGGGAACCCTGAAGCAATGGGATGGGATGGGTCTCTGGGGTCCCTGTGGATCCAGGCTGGACGGGTGCCTGCCTCTCCTGCTCACCTCCCTCTGTCTTGCCCTCTGTGTTGCAGAGGACCCCACATTCCGCTGTGACGAGTGTGATGAGCTCTTTCAGTGCAAGCTGGATCTGAGGCGCCACAAGAAGTATGCGTGCGGTGCCTCGGGGGCTCCGATCTATGAGGGCCTCGGGGAGGAACTGAAGCCCGAGGGCCTCAGCGCGGGCAGCGATGGACAAGCACACGAATGCAAGGACTGTGAGCGGATGTTCCCCAGCAAATACAGGTGCTGCCCCGTCCCGCTTCCCACAGCTCCCTCCATCGCCAGCCCTCTTGGTCCACAGTCCACCTCCCTGTCAGTCTGGGGCTCTAGGACTAGGAGACCAGGGGCTCAAATGTGCTACTGCACTGGGAACAGAGTGGGCGCGTGTGTCTGGAAGGTACACATATTTTCTCACAGATCGGATTCTCACCATACAGGGCCCGACCCCAGCTGGAGAATCCACTGGGCCTGGTCTGTGGGTCGCTGGCACCGCTGCCATACACACAGCCTGAAATTCAGACAGAGATTGTACAGACCAGCAGGGCCTAGCCACCACCTGGCCCTAGAGATACTTTTGGGGCAAGGCCTCAAGCTGGGAGGTGCTAGGCCACAGCACTGGCTGTAGAGGGGATGTAGAGTAACCTAGCTGTTTGGACCTTCACGGCCCTTCTCAGTGCGTCCTCAAAAGGATCATACAGAACCATGGTTCCTGAGTATGCCCCCCCCTCAGGTGGCAGGCCCCTGCCTGGGAGGGACTCCAGAGGTATGGGCAAAGAGAGCTTCAAGCCCAGCTGGGTGACTACCAGACACCAGCAGCTGGAGTAGGCCCAGCCTGCTGCCCTTCTCTGCCCTGAAGCCAGAACTGTGTGAGGACCCACGCACAGGAGCCCTAAGGGACCTATATGAACCCCTGGGCTCTGGGTAGCAGAAGCTGGGACCTCTGGCCCCAGTGCTCAGAGGCGTGGAGAAGTTTGGGAACTTTTCCAGCCTCTGAGCCCCTGCTGTTGAAGAGCTTGCTCAGGACAACCTTGCAAAGTCGGAGCAAAACCCCATCAGGCCGCTAATGGCTCTGTGATTACTAGGGATTTACCACCAATCCCATCACGGACTCCCTGGAGGCAGCAGACCCTCCACCCTGAGCAGATGACTGAGAATAAGCAAGCGTGTGGGCAAATCCCGCCTGAACGTGTCACAGAGAACAGGGCTGAGGACGGTCCGTGTTTTCTTTACATAAACACATAAATCACAATTAACAACAGAGAAAAGATACAATCTCTGGGAGCTAGAGGAGCAGGCGTTTCTGCTCTAAACGGATGGCTGGGCCCCGTAATTAACGGGCCATGATATATGACTGCTTTGCTCATGAAGATTAACGGCCATCCCAGGGACAGGAGAGGCAGAGTCCCCAGGGAGGAGGGGATTAGGGGTTGCTAGTGTAGCCAAGAGGAGCAGCCCCCCCCTAGAACAGCTGTTTTCACCACAGTAACACATCTCACCCAAGACCCAGTCCACACTGCCTGCCCCTCCTCGATTATATCTGGTCAGCCAGCAAGCCGCTTAGATGGCTTACTTGCATGTCATGGCCTCAGTATTACTCTGGGACTTATGACAGTGTTGGTACCCTGAACCCTTTTCCCCTAGGCTCAAGTTTAGCCTCCCCCCACCCCACACACACACACACTCTGAGATATGGTCTAGCTGTGTGGTACAGGCTGGCCTCAAACTCGAAATTCGCCTGCCTCAACCTCCTGGGTGTTGGAATTATAGTTGTGTACCACAGCATCGGACCCAAACTTATCCCTAAAGTTGGGATCATCTGACAAGCATTTCCCAGGGTCCCACTCCACCCCTGGCTGCCTGGGGAATAGGGTAGCCTTGAGTGAAGATGGCTCTGGTGCTGACTTCTTCCTCTGACATGGAAAGGCTGTCTGTCCCCATTCCCAATGACCTGAGGAAGAGGAAGAGTGCCAGCATCACTCCGATCCCCCTGGAACATGATGGGGCCTCCAAGGGGCCTTCATGCAGGAGAGCAAGCCATATGGAGTAGGGGACCTCCTCTCAAGGCATATGGACCCTAGAGTGATCCCCATTCCCCTGTATGCAGCTTGGAGCAACACATGATTGTCCACACAGAGGAGCGTGAGTACAAATGTGACCAGTGTCCCAAGGCCTTCAACTGGAAGTCCAACCTCATCCGCCACCAGATGTCTCACGACAGTGGCAAACGCTTCGAATGTGAAAACTGTGTCAAGGTACCAGACACCTGCCCCACAGAGCACGCCCTCACCTGAACACGCCCCCTCCATCCCACTTGAAACTCCCGAGAGACATGGTGTAGTGGATTAGATGCCCTGGGGCCACTTAGTTGCTTCCTCATTGCTGAGAAGCGCAGGACGTCTCAGAGATTTGTCATCAAACAGCCCTGTAGGAAAGAGAGCCAAGACCAGAGCTGTGTCCCTTGCCAATGCGCAATGCGCAATGCACAATGCCAAGGGTTGCAGGGGTGAAGCCCCTAGACCCAAGGCCACCCAGGTGAGTGGCTCTAGAAAACACTGAGTATTCTTTGGAACCTCAGAGGCACAGTGTCCTGACTCCAGTGTCGGGGAAACTGAGACCAGGAGAGGTTCAGCATGCCACCGATGTCCTTTAGTCATCACTGGTTCAGCAAGACCTATCCCAACCACCTCACTGCAGGGGCACCAGGGGAGAGGGGCAGGGCCCAGCCTTCATACCCCTAGGCTTATGGTAGAATTCGAGAGGGACGTGCACCAATGACATTTATTTCCCCAGGTGTTCACGGACCCCAGCAACCTCCAGCGTCACATCCGCTCACAGCACGTTGGTGCCCGGGCCCATGCCTGCCCCGACTGCGGCAAGACCTTCGCCACATCCTCTGGCCTCAAACAGCACAAACATATCCACAGCACAGTGAAACCATTCATATGTGAGTTGCCCAGCCTGCACCTTCCCCCCAGGTCCTGCTGAGAGCAGGACCCTGGTCCGTCCGTCCAGAAGCCTTTATAGCTGGTTCTAGTTGGATACAGGGCATTTGAACCGAGGCCATTACCTTGATGACTGGCCTCCTCTAAGTTTATGGACATATATCTGTCCCTTCCCACATCCCACATCTTCCCCACGCCTGCAGATTTCCCTGTAATACCTGGAAGAAGGCAATAGCTAACAGTTACTCTAATGATAGAGATTTCTACAGAAGGGGCCAGTTGCCCCTCCTCCCTGTATTCCCACCCTAGCAGAGCCCCAGCTGGACCTCTGAGTGTGACCATCCAGCTGATAAGTTCGGAGCATCATGCCCCTAGGAAACTTCTGAATGTGACCATCCTAAAATGACATGTACTGAGCCTGGTGCTTCCTAAGGATCTCCTGGCATCCATGACCCTCCCTTTGCCTCTGGCCCATCTGTGCATCCTTGCTTTGACCAAGGGTGGCCAACTAAAAAGAAATCCCAGAAATGGACAGGCAGGCCCAATGAGCGTGCTATGCAGTTGGAATGATACGTCCGTGCGAGATAAGTGTGAGATGTAGCACTGTGTGCATCCTAGAGACCATGGAGTGTGCTGGAGGGGTGTAGGAAGGTCAGAAGGAGAACTGAGAGCCAGTAAAGGGAGTCTAGTAACATGGCCTTTCCGAGAAAGGATCTACTACTTGGAGAAGAGTCCCCTGTGTCCCAGGTACCAGCTACATATACGCAAACTCTACACCTGCCTACCAAGTGAAACCTGGGTATACAACCAATGTCTAGAAACCCCCAAACCCTCACTCACCTCACCGAGCACAGAGACTGGGATAGCATCTTTCTGATCGGGGAGTTCAAATGTGTGTATGAGAGGGGGGCAAAGTAAAAAGGGGAGAGAGAAGGTGCCCGGGTCGCAGAGGCATTCTCGTGGATACTTTTCAAAAGAGAGTCTTTGAAGGAGGAAGTGTGCGTGTATGAGAATACACAGTATGGGCTAAGTTGGCACTATTACCGCCCCTCCCCGTGTGTGTATGTGTGTGTGTGTGTGTGTGTGTGTATGTACGTATGTGACTGTGCATGGGTGCTTGTGTGTGTGCGTGTATATGTATGCGCCTGCGTGTGTGTGTGTGTGTGTGTGTGTGTGTGCGTGCTTGTGTGCCTGTGCCCATGCACATCTACACGCATCTCAGAAGTAATGGAACTCCTACCAAGGGTCTCTTCCTGTCCTGAGATTCATCAGCGCTGCTCCTCATACCCAGCATGGTGTTGCAGCCAGAACTTTCTCCCGGTTCCTTAGACAGCCACCTTCTTTGGATGGCTCTGAGCTGGCTGGCAGCCATTCTCCATGTCTAGAACCTGCCCTTCCTGGGACTTCGAGGTGTCTCTGCAACCCAGCTACCACAGAGTCATCTCCCCAGTTGTAGTAATAGGTAGGAACCAAGGGTCCCTCTGTCCCTGGAGGCCCCTGAGTGGGAGGCTTGCTCATGATGCTGGCAGAAGGCGATGTTTAGGCTCCACCAGGGACATAGCAGGGCTCTCAGCTGTGGTGCTTGCCTAGTCTGCCTAGGTAACCTGAGCTTGAAATCTGCCTTGTAGCTCCCTGTGGGAGACCAGGAGTAAGGTAAGGTTATTCATAGACCATCTAAACTTGGTGCCTCTCCCGGAACAGTATCCCAAAAAGGGAAGATTTGATTAAATGAAGCAAAATTTCTCTCCTTTCAGCCAGAAAATGCCCCACCATGATGACCAGGAAGGCAGGGCAGCTAATATAAATAGATATTGTGATTAAAGTGTGATAGTCTCAGAGAAAAGGCATCTCAGATAAAGTGGCAGATCGGGATTTGTAGAGAGCTGGAACGTGCTACAGAAAGCAAACTGTCCTGTGGGGGAGAGTCACAGGGTGTGTATGTGTGTGTGTGCATGTGCATGTACATGTGTGCATGTGTATGTGTGTTCACATACGTGTGCATGACTGTGTGCGCACACATGTGTGTGCATGCACACATGTGTATGTGTGTGCTTGAGTGTGTGTGCATGTGCATGTGTGTGTCCGTGCATGTGAGTGTGTACATGAGTATGTGTGCACATATGTGTATATGTATGCATGAGTGTGCGTGCGTGCACATGTGTGTGTTCGTACACATATGTGTATGTGTGTTCATGAGTGTGTGTGCACACACACGTGTGTGTGCATGCACATATTGTATTGTGTGCATTAGTGTGTGTGCACACGTGTGTGTATGTGTGCATTCCATGCCTCTGTCAATGGGAGGAGAAAGATGATTACAGGGGTGTGGGTGTATAGGAGAATGTGTAACATACACATATATACCTCCTTTTTTTGGTAGAAAAAGAGAAAGGCAGATTAATGCTTTACTAACCTCCGGTTCCCAGGCCTCAGAAAGATAGCTGTGGGCTTTTCTGAGCCTCTAGGTAGGCTGATGTCCACCTGGTGTTGCCCTGTTCTGTAAGAGTCCTGATGGTGTCTGTCAGCTTGAGCAGACCCTGCCAGACCCCCAGGCTGGACGCTCCTGGCTAGGAGTCTTTCCAGGCTTAAAGCATGGACCCAGCCCTTTCCCTGAAGGTCACAGATAGAGCTTCACCCCATTGTTGGCCAACCCCAAAACTGTGGACAAGCACAATCAGATGCCCTGCTCCCCAGACCAGGCCCTAACTCCAGAGTTCCTGAGAACTGCTGGGGCATCTGCAGGGCCGGGGACAGAGAGAGAGGGGCAGAAAGCGAGGAACATTTTAAACTAGGAAGAGAGGATTGCTACTCCCTTGTAGAAACAGCCAACCAAGGTCACCCCCTGGAGGCGAGTCATGTGGGCGTTCTGCGCTAACCATCCTAGCCATCAGTGGTGTTGTATGACCTTGCTCTGCCCGTGCCCGGTCTGGACCAATGACTTCCAGAGGTCTTGGAGCAGGCATTTCCTACACTCCAGGGTAAGAATCGGCGATCAATAAAGATGCCATTCACCCCGTCACAGGAGGCTGAGATACCATGGTCCACCTGAGCAGGACCCCAGGGAAAGGCCTGGTGATCTTTGCTAGCCCCCAGCCTGCATCGGTACCTGGGGTTCATGGTGGTCTCACTCTGCACCTGTTTTTGCCTCTTGTGGGCGTTTTAGGTGAGGTCTGCCACAAGTCATACACGCAGTTCTCCAACCTGTGCCGGCACAAGCGGATGCATGCTGACTGCCGGACTCAGATCAAGTGCAAGGACTGTGGGCAGATGTTCAGCACTACCTCCTCCCTCAACAAGCACCGGCGCTTCTGTGAGGGCAAGAACCATTATACGCCAGGCGGCATCTTCACCCCAGGCCTGCCCCTGACCCCCAGCCCCATGATGGACAAGACAAAACCCTCCCCCACCCTCAACCACGGGGGCCTAGGCTTCAACGAGTACTTCCCCTCCAGACCTCATCCTGGGAGCCTACCCTTCTCGACTGCCCCTTCAGCCTTCCCCACACTCACTCCAGGGTTCCCAGGCATCTTTCCTCCATCCTTATACCCACGGCCACCTCTCCTACCTCCCACACCACTGCTCAAGAGCCCCCTGAACCACGCACAGGACGCCAAGCTCCCCAGCCCACTGGGAAACCCAGCCCTGCCCCTCGTCTCTGCAGTCAGCAACAGTAGCCAGGGAGCCACAGCAGCCACGGGGCCGGAGGAGAAGTTTGATGGCCGCTTGGAGGATGCATACGTAGAGAAGGTCAAGACCAGGAGCCCTGACATGTCAGATGGCAGCGACTTTGAGGACATCAACACCACGACAGGGACAGACTTGGACACCACCACGGGCACAGGCTCAGACCTGGACAGTGATGTGGACAGTGACAGAGACAAGGGCAAGGACAAGGCCAAGCCGGCTGAAAGCAAGCCTGAATTCGGGGGTGGGTCTGTGCCCCCAGGGGCCGTGAACAGTGTGGCCGAGGTGCCAGCCCTGTACTCACAACATTCGTTCTTCCCACCACCCGAGGAACAACTTCTGGCAACCTCGGGAGCCGCCGGCGACTCCATCAAGGCCATCGCGTCCATCGCCGAGAAGTACTTTGGCCCTGGCTTCATGAGCATGCAGGAGAGGAAGCTGGGGTCCCTTCCTTACCACCCCGTGTTCCCCTTCCAGTTTCTCCCCAACTTCCCCCACTCTCTCTACCCCTTCACGGACCGAGCCCTCGCCCATAACTTGCTGGTCAAGGCTGAGCCAAAGTCACCCCGGGATGCCCTCAAGGTGGGTGGCCCCAGTGCAGAGTGCCCCTTCGACCTCACCACCAAACCAAAAGAGGCCAAACCTGCCCTGCTCACGTCCAAGGTTCCCCTGGTCCCCTCATCTGGTGAGGAACAGCCGCTAGACCTGAGCATCGGCAGCAGGGCCCGAGCGAGCCAGAACGGAGGCGGCCGCGAACCAAGGAAGAACCACATCTACGGCGAACGGAAGCCAGGGGTTGGCGAGGGGCTGCCTAAGGTGTGCCCAGCACAGTTGTCCCAGCAGCCATCCCTGCACTATGCCAAGCCCTCGCCCTTCTTCATGGATCCCATCTACAGGTATTAACATGGCCTGCCCTCACTTGCTCTCCCCAGGGGCCCACATCCATGCAGTTATATTGATGTTTAATAAGGATCAGGAGAAACAAATAGGCAGAATAGATGTTTATTCAGGGAGAAATAACTCACAACATAGACAGATGAACACCAGCAAGTTCCTGGTCCCAAGGATGCCTCCCCATGTGCTCCTGTCCTGTGCTGCAAGCAAGAGAGCTCTCCGGAGTCCCCTCCTCAGCCTTAGTTCCCCCAGGTCACATCCGGCCCTGTCTCCACCCCCCATGGGCGTGGTCTATGCCACAGGTGCGGACAAGGTGAATATCTCACTACAGAGATAGGCAAGGACTCCCTCTTCTCTCTCAACCTCCTAACTCAAGGTTCTTCCCTGTGCGTTTGCGGGGGGGGGTGCCTCAGCCCATGGGGGTCCCGTGCTCCCTCAGGGGTAGACATCTTATTCCCTACTTGGAGCCTCTCCGTTAAACCCAACCCAGAGCCCCTCCACCATCAGCTGTCTTTTCAGGCGCTAACCTCTGCCTCACGAAGGTCAGTTCACCCTACTCTACCTCTGAGAACTTGTTCTATCTCCCTGCAGCTGCACTCTCCTGAGACTGCCCAGTGGCCCCACCCTGCCCTAGAGCCACACTGAGGGACAGGAGGGCTCTGGTAGCCCACAGCAAACCAAAGGAATTGCTGGTCCTGGTAGGGCAGAGTTCTTGCCTCTCTGATACTGGTTGCGATGAAGGGCAAGTCTACGTCTACTTCCTGGCTCTCAGAAAGGCCTTGAGTCTCCCAAAGAGGCAGGTGGGCTTGGAAAGCAGGCCAGGTTCCACGTTTGGAGCCCTAACCCTGCCAGCACATGTCACATACTTTACTGTGTACGGGAGTCACGGAATAAGGAGAGGGTAATCCCAGGAAGGTGATGCGTTTGATGTTGACCCCGCCTTGTCAGTGTGCCATGTCACATGTGTGAGCGTGCATTAAGAGATGTTCAGGGAACAGGCCTGTGTGCCTACTATCTCCTTGGGGCTGGCTGTCATGTGAGGACTGGAGATGGCCCCACAGCTCCGAGAGAGGCAAGCAGGTGATAAAGCGCCCAGAAAATGCCAAGCGAGGCAGACCAGACAGCAGCTACCCAGGGACATGGCCACCTGCACCCACAAGTATCTACTCAGGCCCCAGGCTTCACCTTCCCCGCTGGGCCATGCTTCTGTTTTCTGGCGGATTCTGGCTTCATAATCCCAGGAAACAAGAAAGATATCCATCGGGTGTTTCTTAGAAAATGTGCCTCCCACAGCTTACACGAGGAAGTGCTGAGGCTCCAGAGAGGAAGGAGAGAGGAGGAAGTACTAGTCAGTACCTTTCTAAGACAGGAAGCAAGCGGCACCCATGCCCTGTGGACTCATACAGAACATGGGCAGGTACTTGGAGACAAACAGCCTCCTGGCTAGACCTCATGAGTGAGGAAACTCTGCCTGAGCCCCCTCCCAGGCTTTCCTGCTCCCCCTACCCTCCTTCCCCGACTGATTAAACTGTCATATATTTTCTGTGAGCTGCAAGGAATCCATGGTCAGTCTGAGAGAAGAAAATCATGGGAACTGACCACAGGACCGCAGAGCCTCCCTTTATATTCTCACGCAGTCTTTCCTCACAACATCAGGAAGCCAGGCTGAGGGCTCCTGTCCTCAGGACCTAAGGCTGTGGCCACTGGAGGGGCTGGGCAAGCCTCTGCGGACATATCAGCTCAGTGGATGCAGCAGCAATGATTCCACTGTGCAGGTCATCTGCAAAGCAGGTCCAGCTATGGTGGACAAATGTGTGTGTTTTCCGAATCCCCTCCAGGTGGAGGCACAGGAGGCTAGGGCAGAGTGCAGCCAGACCACAGGAGGGTCCTGAGCTACCCCACCGCCATAATGCTAGGTTCGTCAGCAAGGCCCTCCCCCAGCTGCCTGGGTCCCTTTTTCTGCCGTTGTCACCATCCCTAGATGGGTGAAAGGTTGAACTCCTGCCGTGAGACACCGCTCCCCGTGGCAGGCACGCCTTAGTTACCCGAGTGAAGCCCAAGGCTGACAACTCTTGCATTTATCTCCACCCCCTCCCAAAGCCACCCCAGTTCCTAGCCTTGATCTCCTCACTGCCCTGGAACAGGACTTGGGTCTCCTCTGGGGACCTGGAGCTGCCTTGCTGCTCTCCCGTAGTCACGTTGCCTCTCCTGCTGCTCTTCCCTGGAAGGCAGGGAGACAAAGGCCTCAAAGGACAGAAGGGGTAAAGTGAGACAAGCCCAGGGTTCACATGGGATGCAAGTGAGCGACTTAGGAAAGGCTCGTTCTGTCTTTGGGGGCGGATTTGAGCAAAACACCTCCTGGACTTCTACAGCCACCGATGCCTGAGCGAGACAGGGGTGCAGCCCTTGCTGCATATTACAGGGGCAAAAGAAACGCACCGACCGTGGAGATTGACTTGTTTAACGACTTGTCGCTGACACTTGGGGAAGATCCTAGAATGTCAGTCTCTGGCACCCATTGAGGGTTTTCAGGTTGCTGCTGTAGGGAGTCTCTGGTAACTTCCCCAGGACAGAAAGCTGTTTGTCACTCACATTCGTCAGCATCAATAGGTAAAGTGCGCCGTGCCAGTAGCCAGCAGGGTCAGGGTAGTTGAGGCGCAGGCAGCAAGCCCCTACAGTGATGCAGAGTAACTTGTGGGTGGCTAGAGACCAGGAAGGCAGCCCCCATCGCACACGCATGACAAGCCAGCGGGCAGGAGGCTGGTGCACGTGGATCCTCTGAAGCACGCTAATGTCCCATGAGGGAATACAGGGGAGCTCAGAAATTTGGGGCATGTGTGAAGGAGCCACAATCGGGGGAATCTGGGCAAGTGGGCAGCTGAGCTTTGTCCCCACCATGGTCAGGGTTCGCTGGAGTTCATGTAGGAGTTGGCACAGCAGCCTCATGATCAACACGGCCCGGGCACGCTCCCGAGGAACCAGTGGCTCAGTGGGGTATGTAACCCTCTGTGTTGCCGTCCAGCAGGGTAGAAAAGCGGAAGATGACGGACCCTGTGGGAGCCCTAAAAGAGAGATACTTGCGGCCATCTCCACTGCTGTTCCACCCCCAGGTAAGACTCACGGGGGCCGTCTGACATGCGTGTGGTTTCGGGGTCCCGGGAGGCAGGGGGCACTTTCTGCAGCTCTCCATAGGTCACTGTGGAGCTGGAGAGCACAGGGGAGGGTGGTTCCCATAGAGAAGCCCTCCGCCTTCCTAAGGGGCCTCCTGCCCAAAGTAGCCCCGTGCCCGGGCAGGGCCCCAGGTGCTAGGAACCGATACACAACTGGTGCAGTGTGGCGGGAGGATCATAGGGAGGACATAGGGACCCCCTGGGGCTGGTCCCTGCGGTGGAGAGGTGAAGCCTCAGCATGCTTCAGTGAGAGGGACAGAGACAGGACACGCCTTTGTGGAAAGAGGCAAGGGCAAGAGTAAGCAGGAGGGAATGGGGGAAACTCAGAGGGAAGCCAGGCCATTTGCAAGGAGCTCCCTGGAAGCCAGGAGAGCCCCACAGTCAGAAAGTGGGGTGTAGGCCCCTCCAGCCTGTGCCTCCCCGGCCATGTACTCCTCCCCACTCCCCAGGGCACAGCCCAAGGGAAAGTTCTCCAAGTGTCCTGTCCTGTCATGGCCCTTAAGCCTCCCTCACCACCAGCAAATTTTCACCCTGCATATAGAGCATTGTTCTTCCCTGAGCTTCCCGCCTTGGGTAAGCCCCAGTCTGTGAAACCTGCACCGTGGCTGAGTTCACAGCTAAACTTAGAGCTACCATTGTTCCATTGGGCCTCAGAGTTTGGTTAATAGCTTCCCCCAATTTTCCCAGGGCCGCCTGGAAAAAGTCGACAAGCCAGCCAGGCACATCCGGTGTTTGTGTTTGCTGCACTAGGAGCTCACGGGAATGTCTGATGGGACAGAGCAGGCTAGGCAGGCAGGACCCACCCCGGCCTGAGGAAGAGAGGCCTATGGGGGGCTGGCTACCCATTGTCCCTTCTGCCCACTGCTCCCATGGGCCTACCTTCTCTGCCTGCCATTGTGGCCCAGAGCCAGGATGAAGAGGCAGAAAAGAGATGACCATAGGGTCACCAGTTAAGTGGTCTGTCACTCACACAGAAAGAGCCTGGTAACCATGGCAAGAAGGTTTCCCTAAAACAGACATTACTGTTGTACGTTAAATAACCTGTACCCTCTGGGGCCCAACCCCATCATCACCGAACCCTTCTGGGCCTGAGACTAGACATGCAAATGCGAAGTTCTTGGGGTTACAGGCAAAGTGGGCGTGCCCAAACCGTGCCTGAGATCCCTGGGGAGTCCATGTTCATAGGCTGTCACCGAGACTGACCGGGAGGTAGACAGTCACTGCTGTGCCAAGGACCTCAGTGTCACCCTGGGGACCCATTTTTGGGAGAGACTGTAGAGGGGCTGGCGATATCCTAGAGAGCAGGACAGTTTCCGTCTGCCCACCGGTGAGCATGGGTTGCCAAGAGTGAGCGTAGTATGTTCTGTTGAGGGTCATATGTTGGTCCCACCTCAACAGGGAAAAGCCCGAGATCTCTATGGCCCACGCAGAGCTGTCCAGCAGCTCGCCATTGTGGCTGGGCATAGTGTCCACTCAATTGCTCTCTGTGGGTTTCTGCTACTGCCCTGCTGTTGTCTCCGCAGATACCAAATGTCTCTGCATTGTGAGGCTTCCAAGCAGCAGTAATACAAATCCCTCTGTTCCCTGTTGGCACTGCCCAGCAAGCAGATGCAGATGGAGCAATGCAGAAGGATCCCAGTCCTGTGGCATCCTGCCTTTGTTCATCCATGGGCAGCTGGGCCCCAGGTTCTGACATCAGTGAACAAGGGTCTTGTGCAGGGGGCTAGCACTAAGCAACACACACACACACACACACACACACACACACACACACACCGAGGCAGCCGGCCATGAGTGAGGAGCCTGGGTGATGCCACACCTTCTCTCCTTGTTCACTGGTGCTCTACTCGGGAGAGCTCTGGGGTCCTTATTAGGCCTAGTCTCTCCCAACATTTACAGCGCTTGGAGAGCCTGAACCTTCTTTCCCTTCAGTGTCCCCATCTGTACCTGCCCTCCCCGTCTTCCTTTGTCCACTACCCTCACCAGGCCCAACCCTGCGGTCTGCGGGACAGAACCAGCCCTCTGGGATAGATGTTCAGCAGAGGCATGTAGAGTGCCTCCTGAGGACCACAGGGCACCTTGTCACAACCTGAAACAGGGCCCAGGAAATTGTTCTGTGAATTTCTTTAGCTCCTCTATTCCATCGGCCCCTGCCTCGGTCTCCCATGGTGTCCATGGGACAAATGGGAGAGGGGCAGCTTCATGATCAATGTCCCCGTCACCAAAGCCTTAAGTCTCAGTGGAGCCTGCATGGCCTGGAGTTGATCAAATTCTGCCTACCGGGCTGAAAGGACCACTCCAGATATCCCTGGACTATAGCTCCAGCTCTAAGGACAGTGTAAGCCATGACCCTGCTCCCAATGGCCATTGAGGGTTATTGATATGATCAGACACAAGCACCCCAGGTGCCCACTCCCTGAAGGCAGATGAAAGCTAGGCCGAGTCCTTGATCTCTGCCCTCTGTGCCTGCAGATGTCAGCCATAGAAACCATGACAGAGAAGCTGGAGAGCTTTGCAGCCATGAAGGCCGACTCAGGCAGCTCCCTGCAACCCTTGACTCACCACCCCTTCAACTTCCGGTCCCCACCCCCGACGCTCTCGGATCCCATCCTCAGGAAGGGCAAGGAGAGATACACATGCAGGTGAGGCACCGTAGGCCCCTTGGGCGCTGGTGGGAGGGGCTACACTGTACACCTGCACACCTGCAAACCGGCACACCTGCACGCCTGCACACACCTGCACACACCTGCACACACCGGCACACCTGCACACACCTGCACACACCTGCACACACCTGCACGCCTGCACACACCTGCACACACCTGCATGCCTGCACACACCGGCACACCTGCACACACCTGCACACCTGCACAACTTCATGCCTGCACACCTGCACACCCACACACCTGCACGCCTGCAAACCGGCACACCTGCACGCCTGCACACACCTGCACACACCTGCACACACCTGCATACCTGCACACCTGCACACCTGCATGCCTGTGGTTGTGAACTTGTTTCTGGAAGAGGCCAAGCTGCAGTCACAGTGGAGCATGGTGAGCAAGCTGGCCCCACTGCCTGCCTGATGTCATCTTCTACACATGACTAACGTGGGCGGGGCTTCTGAAAACATCCACTACACTGTGCAAGCCCAACCCAATGTGCAACTTAGCCTCACCTGGCTGAGCTCAGAGGCCAGAGGAGGACAGCAGGTAAGCATTAGTCATAGCATTAGGAAAGATGGTGAGCCCCGTGCTGCCGTTTCTGCCATGGGTCATGGTGTTGGGAGGACATGCTCCCAGGCTCCCTTGCTGATCCCGGACACTATGACCCCCAGACTGAGGGGGTCTCTGCTCTATGCTTTGTGAGATACCTGGGCTCAAGGCAAAGAGGAGATAACAAAGTAGAATTCTGACATGGGGCTCTGGATGAAGAGAAATCTGGAAAAGGGCACGGTGAGCCACCCTAATGCCTCTGCAACCTCTCTGCCCCAGGTACTGTGGCAAGATCTTCCCCAGATCTGCGAATCTCACAAGACATCTGAGGACACACACTGGGGAACAACCATACAGGTAGGAGCCACCTAGCGTTAGTGGGGGGACTGTGGGACTGTCCCTATTTGCTTCCATGCACCCTTAGTTTCCCTCCGCCGAGCAAACGCTTGCATTCAGGGTCATGCACAGGATGTGTGGCTAGTGGAAGGGTAGTAGACAGGAGCCACAGTGCTCAGTGACATCTGGCTCTGACAACATCCCCCCTGGTCCCAGGAATAGTGGAAGGATGAGGCAGAAGTGCCCAGAAAATTTCTGGAAGGCTCCTTCCAAGCTCCCAAAAGAAGATGTAAGAGAACCTCTCCTTTCCTGTAGCTAATGTATCAACCAGAGAGATGTGGCTGGAAGCTGGATCGTCCACAGGTCCCTGGGAGAACCTTAGCCAGCCAGCCCCATCCAGCCCTGTCCCTGTCACGATGACCATAGCTACCTCCTCCCTGAGTATGATCTCTTTAACAAATATAGGGGTGCCCTTCATTCCCTGCAGCAGCCCTGAGTGGGAAGCCATGCACCTGTCGCTAAAGCAGAGAGTGGGCCACTCAGAATTGTGGGATGTGAGAACTACTGAGTGACGTAGAGAAGACTCCTAGTGGGTCTTACTATCCCTGCTTCAAAACCAAGGAGTTACAGATTAGAGATGTCCTGGGGTTCTCCAAGAGTTGGGACCTATGGCCACTTTTGCCTTCTCTCCCAGCCCCAGGTCCCTGTCCTTCGAGTCCTTGGGCCTTTGTTTTAGCACAAGCTGTGCTCCCATCAGGGAGTGGGCCTTTTAAAACAGAACTCAGGCCATTGTCACCCTGAGACAAACAGGGAAATGGCCACTTCTCTGCCAGGACCGGTTTAGATACACGTTCTGGGGTGTGTCTAGCTGGCCGAGTCTTTGGTTTTAGAGCGATGGCATTAGACTCCTATACTGTGTCCTCGCAGAGCTTGTTTCACCAGGAAGGGGTCACATGGTGATAGAGTCCTGGGGACACGGTCAGTGCCCCTCCCTGCATGTGTTGTGACCCCCAAGCCCTGCTCAGGCACCAGAGCATCCCTGGTGGCCACAGCCCACATCTGTGCCAGCGGAATGAGTGACAGCTCTTTCTAGTCCTGTGTCCCATGCCTCCCAGCCCTCCCCGACATGCAGCCCCCCTTGTCTACTCTCTGAAAATAGTGACTTACAACTTAACAAAGGCTTGCAACAGAAAGATTTATTTGGTCTGGTCCTCGCCCAGAAAACGAGCCCTGTGTTTTTTCTGTAATGAGAGCCGACTCCTGGACAGCGTGTCGTGCTAAGAGCCCCCAGAGGGTAGGGGCCGTGTTTATAGAAGAATTTAATTATCATTGATTTCTTTTGCTCTCTCCAATCTGAGAGTTTCGACTTTGGTAACAATAATTGCTTTGCAAGTTTGTGTTGCAAATCCTGACTTTATCTGGCTTGAGGCAGGCCTTCGCCGAGGGGTTTAAAGTGTGCAGCTTGCCTCTTGATACTACTGGGGACCTTGGTCTTGCTTTGATAACTGGAAGGAGTTTAAGTGTAACAGGAGAAAGCACAACCCATCCTAGAAGTCCACTGCACAAAGCAAAGGCCTGGCAAGGCTGCTTGGCCCAGTATGATGCCACCTCAGTGTCAGTACATGTCTGCGAGGTCACTGTGGTGCACACGTGGATATGTGCACCTTTCAGAGGCTGGGCCTTCGGAAGAGAGATGAAGAAGGTTGCCTTGGGTGATGAGGAAGCCCTCAGAAATATGTCTGTTTCGTACATGCCTCCGTGTCCTGGTACGGAGTGACCTCTGCTTTCCCCAGAGACTGTTTTCCCACACACTCCAGCCAGGAATCAGCCCTTAGCACTCAGCTTTCCCTGGCTTTGAAATCTTCACCTGAAGTTGGAGAACACATACTTAATAACAGTCTCATGTGCTAAAACTCCAGCGTATAGGCTTTACAGACTTGGGTTACAGAGGTGGGAAGGTCTGATCTACTGGGGCTGGCGAAGATGGTCTTACATGCACCAGAACCTGTATTTGGATCCCAGGGACCCACAGTAATCTCAGTGTTAAGTGGGCAGAGACAGGAGGACCCTCTGGAGTTTTCTGGCCACCCAGTCTAGTGAGATCCAGGTTCAGTGAGAGACCCTCAAGAAATAAACTAGACAGCGATAATAGAAGACACCCAGTGTCAACCTCTGGCCCCACGTAAATGGACATGCATATATACATCCATGCACACACTAGCACATGCATATGAACATATATACACATATTCATTTTCAATTAAAACATTTTAAATGGAAAAAATGAGTTCTAACTTTTATGTAGAGGTTGTCCTGGATGTTGGGCATAAGCCTGCATCACACCTGGAGGCAAGCCTTCCTGAACCAACCCGGAACTCCTGATCAGGCCTGGGACTCCTGCTTAAGGCATGCACGCCTCCCAGTGCATGGTTGTGTTGCCTTCTTTCCCTTCCCAGCTCCTGTTCTGGGCCCTGTGTTAGAGCCGACAGTGTCCAATGGGGCTGCAGGCGGCCCCTGCAAAACCTCTTCCTGATTCATTTTCATTCCCAGAATCTCTTCCTTTTCTGTCCTCATTTTTTATAATGATGAAGCAGTGGTGTAGTAGCTCTCCTGTGTCTCAAGGAAGATGCTGCTGCTTAGGGGGCCCGAGAGGCATGGTTTCACCCTCTCCTGCCCTGTGCATCCCTCACTTCGCTGGGACTGCCACAGGCATGGTCACAGCAAGGTCCTCCCAGAGCTCCAGGCTGAGATGCCTGCGCCCTCTCATTCTGTGAGCACAATGGTGTGTTGCTTTATGCAGAACAGCTGTAAATTTCCCTAGCTGCCTGTCAGCTTATTCACAATGCAGAACCCAGCTGTTGGGCGAACTCTGCTCCCTCAAAGCCCTGGGCTCTCTGCTCCCCTAAATTTCAAGTGGACGTCTCTGCCTGGGCCATTTATTTAGATTAGAACAAGGAGAGGCTACATTCAGAACACTGAAAGTAGACAGAACTCACAGCCCGTCCCGGCTCCAGAGCTCTGCACGGCCTCTACCCCTCCAACCTCCCTCCTCCGTCTTCCCCTCTCCATCTCACATTATCCCCAGTCTGTGCCAGAGCTAGGGTGGGGAGGTAGGACCTGTCAAAGGGTCTGCATTTCCTGAGGAACCACCCCCCCCAAAAAAAATTATGTGAATATGCTTCAGATGGGCACACAGACGGGGGCTGCCTGGCTGACCTGTGGCATCGGCAGAGACCTCTCACCCTAGTGCCGTGAACTCCCAGTTCCACAGGCAGCTTGGCCTTGGAGTTACTCTGCAGATGCAAATCAGGCTTTCCTTTCCTAAGCTGGAAGATGTGTGCCTGCCTTCATCAAGGTGTCTGTATGCGTTAGGGTGTTGGGGGAGTACAAGTGAGAGGTGAAATTCCTTCGGAACTGTTGCACTGTAGGAGGCTGCAGAGCATGAAGGATTGAGGTCTGTTATTGCTCAGACTAAGAACGCCAACAGTGATGCCTTTGCAGGTGGTCACGTGCGTCAGGCTGCTTCCCAGGCTCTGGGAAGCAATGGTGTGACCAAGGACACCCACATGCCCCCGAGGCCACTCCAGGAAAACCTAAGATAGAGCAGAGGCCCAAACCTGTGCTTCAGGGAAGAGGCTAGGCCACGAAGAGCCTGGTAAGGCGCTAGCTAACAGTACAAACCGAGCCAGGGAGATCCTGGCCTCAGGCAAGTCTGAGGACTGCAGCAACTGAATAAGGGGACACAAAACTCAAGGTTGGGAGTGTCAGTTGTGGCCAAGCCTGAAGGAAGAGCCTGGGCAAGAAGGAGGGGACCTCTCAGAGCAGCCTCCTATTCTGTAGGGCCTTAAACTACCTCAGTTTATCTGGTAGCCAGGGACCAGAGGACTTTCAGGCTCTGAGAGTCCAAGGGCAAAGTTAATAACTGCAACCCTTGAGGATTCTGGACTCAACAGGGACAGAAACACAGGCAGACACACCCTGTCACAGAACATGATCAGGGCCCACATACCTCACACAGACCTCCGAACTTAGTCTCTGGGCCCGGCCCCTCCTGTACTGGACAGCACAAAGCCATAAAAGCAGCTTTGACATGCAAGGCCCTTCCTGGCTGTGTCCCTGGTGTCCTCAACCACATGACAAAGGCTCGTGACCAGAGTGCTACTCCAGAGAAGGCCACCAGCCCCAGATCACAGTGGGGTAGGACTCACAGGAATGCAAGGCTGCTGTATTTAGAACAGTCACACACACACCTGTGGGTGGAGAAGAGCCGCCCATCTTTGTCTCACAGAGGCTGACATCACAGTCTCTGGCTCCGGAGAGGAGGGCAGAGTGTCTCATGGTGCTGGCACTGGAAACCTTGCATGTTGGGCTGTCACCTAGCAGGACTCATTTCCCAAATATGAAAGCATACAGTCACACAAATATAGTTTTTAAGTGCTGGGTGCCTCTAAGATCCAGATAAATACCCAGAAGTCCTTCTGGTGGCCAATTTCACAGCTTATTCTCATATACCTGAGCATACTCATGCACTTATACACGCACAGAGAGAGAGAGAGAGAGAGAGAGGGAGGGAGGGAGGGAGAGAGAGAGACAGAGGAGCCACACACTGCATGCACACATATGCAGCACAAACATGGCGTCAGGGTTGCCGCTGCAGGGTCTGCCTGTGTGGACAGGCCCCCAGGAAAGCCTTGTCAGCCACCCCACAGCGCAGACTTCCCGCAGTGCCAACGTGGCTCCTTTACGTGGCAGAGCACGCGTACTGCAGAGATGGGAAGGTTCCTCCTGAAATCACTCGTTCCTCTTTGTTTCTGGGTGTGGTTTCTTTGTTGTGGGTATTGCTTGGGCCTGTTCTCTCTGGGGGAGAGAAGGCCTCTGTTCTCTGCTGTGAGGGCCAGTGTGGCCACACCTCGGGGCACACACTCCCGGACATTCCTCGTGGCCTCTAACTACACCACATTTTCTGATAAAATGCATGCTGGCTGCTGGCGTCTTTCTTCTAATTTGAGTGCTTGGTCAACCTAGTGGGGACTCCACAATAATCTGATCGTGTAAGAGCTGGTGATGCCTTGAAGGGCTCAGCATGGCTACCGGCTGGCCTCAGCAGTTAAGGCCACAAGGCCAACACCCCCACCCCCTGCCTAAGTGCTACTAAGAACATTAATAGTCACACTGAGTCCCTAAGTGAGATGGGGCTTGCTCAAGGTCTTCAGTCCGACGAGCCAGAGCCCGGCCTTCCTGGGATGGAGAAGACAGACTGTCTTCCCATGGCAGGTAACCTGCCAGCATGTTCAGCATCTTTCCATGTTTCAAGGCTGCCCTCTTGAGGCTGACTGAAGAATGTCATCTCGCACTGTGCACTTAACTCCCCGCACTAACTCGGGGCCTGTTTAAAACAGGGCCCAGGTGTCTCTACAGACAATCAGCCAGGTAGTCAGGTGGCCTCCGGGACTCTACAGTGGATACAGCTGCTGTGGAGACTTGAGGTCTGGCCCCCACCACCACCACACTCGGCCTCCTCTCTTCTGAGGCAAAGTGCACCCTGTTTTCCAGGTGTAAGTACTGTGACCGGTCGTTCAGCATCTCCTCCAACCTCCAGCGGCACGTGAGGAACATCCACAACAAGGAGAAGCCGTTCAAATGCCACCTGTGCAACCGCTGCTTTGGGCAGCAGACCAACCTGGACCGGCACCTGAAGAAGCATGAGCATGAGGGCGTAGCAGGTTGGTAGGCCGCGGGGCACGCGGAGGGTGGGCCCGGGAAGAGATCGAGCTGGCAGGGAAGGGACCATGGGCAGCCCACCCCTCAGACGGCTCTCTGAGGTACAGCTCCCTGACACCGCCCCAAGTGCACACAGGCGGGCTGGCACTGGGGGACTTGACGTACCCAGAATGCCCTGACACTCAGCCCTCCCACAGTGAGCCAGCACTCTGGGGTTCTCACGAACCACCTGGGCACCAGCGCCTCCTCCCCCACCTCCGAGTCGGACCACCATGCACTTTTAGATGAGAAGGAAGATTCCTACTTCTCTGAGATCCGAAACTTTATCGCGAACAGTGAGATGAACCAGACGTCTGCTCGGATGGACAAACGGTAAGAAAAGAAAGCCAGCCCCGGCAGGTCTAGACTCAGCTGTTGCAATGGTATTACCCCCCGCCCCCGCCCCCGCCCCGCCCCTGGATGGTACTAGGTCCCACTGGAGGAGGTCTCAGGCTCTATTGCTAGAACAAGAAGAGCCAGACCCAGTTCCCCACGAATGTTCTTCCTACACTGAGAGAGGATGAGGGGAGAGAGCACCCTGTGAGATAATGGGTGTTTACACTCGGTAAGATGCCAGCACACAGGCCAAGTGGCAACCCCATTGTGTGTTTAATCCAGGCACTCATTTTCCAGACAGAAATGCTGCCCCTTTAAACATGCATATGGAGGAGGGGGAGAGAGAGGAAGGAGTAGAGAGAGAGAGAGAGAGAGAGAGAGAGAGAGAGAGAGAGAGAGAGAGAGAGAGAGAGAGAGAGAGAGGAGAAAGAGAGAGATCAACTTAACGATGAAGCAATGTGATGAAAACCCCACAAAGTAAAAAGACTGTCATTCAACAGGCCTAAGCTACCAAATACAGCTCAAGTCCTCACCCCGCCCCCTGCTCCATAACACTCAGAAACACACAGTAGGCTGCTGCTATGCAGACCATCTACCACAGAGCCTCTGTAATACAGACTTGTGTGACTGACCAAAAACCCAACCACATCAAAACCCTGATGGCGTCGTGTGCAATGGGTTACTGGCTATGTCCCACTGCCCTCAAACTGCCTGGGAGCAGATCCCCTGGCCGTGCCCAGCATCTCCTGGGAATACTGCACCTGTGCATAGATAGCATGGGAAAAGATCAATCGTCAAGGTGTGGACCCTTCTTGTCATCTTCACACTATTGTGAAGTGAAAACCCTTTGTAAGTCAAAGATGATTTGTATACAAACACACACAGAGGCATGTGCAAACAGGTGTGTGTGTGTGTGTGTGTTTGGTATGTGTGTGCATCCACGTGTAGTAAATATGTATATGGATATATGGATATACACACTCATGCATATATGCATAGACTTGCACATTTACACACAGAGATGGCGATTTCAGCCAGGCTATGGAGATGTTCCCTAAAACCTCATGTCCAGGCTTCAGCGTGTCCTTCACTGGGGAATTCTCCCTTCTGCAAGGACATCTCTGTACCTCAGAGAAATAAACTGATCAGAGAAGTCACCAAGAAGCAGAAGTTCTGTAAACCCTAAGAAACCTCGGGACGGGATCTCCCGTTCTGAAGAGGGGAACCCATGGAAGTGAGGTGCCTTGTGGTCGCCAACCTAGTCAGGACCCAGCTTTTATTGCAAGAGCCATGATGGACTATAGCTCTGTGCCACCAGGGTCCAGCTTGCCACCGATTCTCTTTGAGGGACTGAGGGAGGGTTCCCAGAGACATGTCCCCTCCATTCAAGCACCTGTCTGCACTTCCAAGGTGGGCTGCATCTCCCTCGTCTCTAGTGCTTTGAGAGAAACCTGTGCACATGGCATCAGTGCTGATGCTCTTAGGCTCACACATCGGGTCTTACTGGAGGCCCCTGGTTATGCATCAGGGCCCAGGCTTCGGGGCCCAAGCTACAGCCCCCCAGTGCCCTTGCGTATCCATCCTGCCTCTAGGTACCGTGCTCTGAAGGGAACCTGGCCCTGTCACTCAGGATGTGACACGTCTGAGAGCCACCCACTTGTTCAGCAGCTTGATGTCCCCTTCAGAGGAAGCTGTGTGTGAGTGAGCACCCTCACATCAGGCCTTCCCTGACCCTGCAGAGAGCAGGAGAATGTATCTCTGTTGTTGAAGACAAGCTCGAACTTGGCTTCCTCAAGCCCCAGGGCAGAACCACCCAAAGAGCAATGACTAATCATCCTTACTGGGGTGGACCAGAGTCAGGCATGGTGGGCACTGACAAGACAGCAAAGACCCCCATGCTCTGAGTCACAGTGGCAAGCCAGAGGAAGAGGAGGCATGTGTGAAAGGGAGAGGAGAAGCCGCCACCCAACCTAAGCAGATCGTGGGTGTTCTGAACGAGCCAGGACAGGGCCAGCCCCCTCCTAAACCCAGCCAGTATGTTGAGGGGGCTCTTGTCCTGAGAGCCAAGGACCCTAAGGAAGACGCCGCCCGCGCGCACGTCACCACCGCCACTGTTAGAAGCATATGTGAGACAGCCTGGTAGGGAGGAGAGCAGACCCAGCTGGGGCTGGAACCCACAAAGTCTAAGTCTTCCACGGCTGCCTCCCTTCCTTTAGTGATCAGTGAGAATCGGATGCCTGCCGAGCCAACCCAAAGGATGGCCGTGTGCTGAACTGTGTCCCCAAATGTCACCTGTGAAACCCTAACCCAGTGCCTCTGATGGAGACTAGAGATAGGGTCTCCGTAGAGGTGATAGAGTTACAGCAAAGTCCTGCTGGGTGATGGGGACACTTCCACAAATGACACACAGGCACTCCACACACATGCACCCACCACGGGAAGAAAAAGACAGACGCCATTTGTTGTTGGGAAACACTGGATTTTACCTCAGAATTCCCAGGAACCAGCTACGCCGCACCTTGTCCTCTCAACCTTTTGCTTCCCTGACTCAGGGACTGTCGGTTACGGTTACTTACGGTTACAGCTGCTGTGAGCCATGTCAGCCAGGATGCTAGCGCAGCTACCCCTAGGACACTTTCCTGCTGCCCCCCCAGAAGTTGTCGCCAGCCTATGAGGGTCTCTGCTGTCCCTGCCGGACTGCACACCGGGGGTGGGCATGCAAGAAAGAGAACATGGTCTCTGTTCCCAGACAATGGCGTGCTTCTAGCTCTGCCCAAGACCAGCCAGCGGGTGTGGCCTGTTCACACCAGCTACCCGGTGACCCAGGGCCAGACTGGGCTCTTGACCCACATTTTCTCTTCCTGTCTTTAGAAGGAACTGTGAGAGCTCAGGTCTCCCACCCTGTAACTACAGGGGGACTTGATCCAGACCCCACCTGGCCTGGAACTTTCACTGATGCCCCGCCCCAACACAGATGACTAGAAGCCAGGGACACACACGGCACCTCAATGCCTGTCAAGATTCTGCCTGTCCTGGAGGGCAGGTCAGGAGGCAGCGTCTCTCACGTGGGAAGAAATTGGTGGCGTGAGTGGAGTCTGCATCTGCACTGGGACGGAATCTTCCCAATTCAGCCTCACCTGTATAACCAAAGCCTTGACACCACTTTGCAAGTCCACGTCACTAAGATGCCGTCTTCATTGACAATAACTGATTGCCCCTCTCCCCCGAGACTGCAAGAGCTGCCTGCGTGGGGAAGGGAGAGCAGGAAGAATGGGAGCTCGAGATATGGAAGCCAAGACTTGTTTGTCTTTTGCTGTGCCCTCAGCTAGCGTGGACACTGCCCACTGCTCCTAGGGAACAGAGTGTGGGCATTGACTTGAACATGAGCCAAACTGGTGAAGCCCTTTGGAGGAAACGGATCTGGCTCACCCTCGTTCCTAGGGAGCCAAACCTCAAGCGCTCACAGAGAGGGCTGGGGTTTGTTTCCCAGCACCCACCTCAGGCAGCTCACAATCAATCACCTGTGACTCCGGCGTGTCTTATGTCATCCTGGGGCAGGCACACGCATGCACATCTCACACGGGCATGCAAAGAGAGAAAAGCTTCTTTTAAAAATGCTTGCTCGAAGGTTTGAGGACGTGGCTCAAGCATGAGGGTCTGAGTTCAAAACTCAAAATCCATGTTTTAAAAAAGAGAGAGTGGTATGACACCCAATATTCCTAGTGCTGGAGATGCAGGCTCAGATATCTCTGGGATTTGCCAGCCACCAATCTATCAAAATAGGTGAGCCCAGGCCAGTGAGAGACCCTCGTAATAGATAGTGGCTGAGGAGGACATGTGTGGTTGACCTTTGGTCTCCATGTATACACATATGATTGTACTCACACACACACACACACATACACATACACACACACACACATATATGTATATGTGTGTGTGTGTGTATGTGTATGTGTGTGTGTGTGTGTGTGTATAGAGAGAGAGAGGATCCAGTGAGACCGAGAGAGACCAAGACAGTGTCTGAGATCTGCCTAGGCTGCGGAGACCCTAGCAGGCTGTGAGTTAGAGCCCAGGCTGAAAGCGGGGGCCAACATTCCCTGAAGCCAGTCCCTCTCAGCAGTGTTTTCTGTTAGCAGCAGCAGCGTGAACCCAGCCCTCAGTACCCAAGTTCTGCAACCTTGGATGTCATGGCTGGCTTGGAGGTGCATGCACAGATGGGTATCACAGAGCCCTGGGCAGGAGGCGCCCTTTGTGTAGCATCCAACCCCAGCCCCAGTACAGGACCCCTCCTCTCCAGGCCTGGTCATAGCTCCTCCCTAATGCCCACATTTCTCACTGGTCCCCGAATGACCTGGTATCTGCCCCCCCCCCAGGGACCCGGCTCTGTCCCCTCTTCTCCCTCAGGGTGCCTCCATCTCGTCTGCATTTTCCTACTCCCTCCATCACTCTCGCTCCTTGGTGAGGAAGTCGGAAACTGCCTTTTGACCTGTGACTCCCTTGTAGCGACCACAGACGCCAGCTCATTTTGAAGGGCTGGGAAGGCCAAGGGGGAGAGCTACCTTTAGTGGTGTGCGGTAAGAAGAATGGCCCCTGAACACAGCCAACTCCTCACCTGTCATTCCAGGCCTGAGATCCAAGACCTGGACAGCAACCCGCCGTGTCCAGGCTCAGCAAGTGCAAAGCGGGAGGAAGTAGAGGAGGAGGAAGAGGAGGACCTGGAGGAAGAGGATGATGACAGCTTAGCGGGGAAGTCACAGGAGGACACAGTGTCTCCCACGCCTGAGCCCCAAGGACTCTATGAGGACGAGGAGGATGAGGAACCACCCAGCTCCCTAACCATGGGCTTCGACCATACCCGAAGGTGGGGGCGGCCAAGTGCCAGGGAATCAGCCAGCTGGGCGGGAGGGCCTGCATACAAGGCCACCATCAGGAGCCACCCCCTCCAACCTGGTCTAACCTCTGCCCAGCAGCTGCTGCTACCACCAGGCACTGGAGCTAGGGCTGGCGTGATGCTAGCCCGAGTTCAGGTTCTCCACTCCTCTAAGGCCCCCAGAAGCTTGGAGACGGGGAAAGGAAGGAAGGGTGAGGACTCCTGACTCAGGAGTCCTCAGTTCTACTGTGCAGCTGTTCATTATCCCATCCACCTGGAGTGGCTGGGTCCAACCTCTGGTGGGCTGTGGCCCAGCACCCATGATTTTAGAAGTTGTGCAGGCCAGAGCCATGTCTGTTCACCGGTTACTTCAGCAATGGGGGGAGGGGGGCACTACCAGTATTGGAGATGCTCTGGGCTGGCCAAGTGTTTCTTCTCCAGCCTCTTGGTCCTGTGGGTGGGTAGGGCAGCCAGGACCCCTCAAAGCTGCCCAGAGTCTCAGAAAAGAAAGTTAAAGCTTCCTTCTCACCCTTTACCCCGAAGCCCAGATTGCTTGCTGCCTGCGATGTGTGCACGCACTCACCCTTTCTGCTGCCTGTCTGTCTGTCCCCTCTCCCACATCTGTGTGGTTTCCCATCTAGGTGTCTGTGTGTCAATGTGTCTGTCTCCTTGTGCATGTGGCTCATGGAAACCCGTGGCGTGCATGCAGGCATGGGGACCAGCCATGAAGCACTAGAGAGAGGCCGTCGGTGGCCAAAGAGCTGACCCCAGGTCCCTTTCCCTGGCCCTTGGTGCAGGTGTGTTGAGGAGCGAGGAGGCGGTCTGTTAGCTTTGGAGCCGACGCCAACCTTTGGGAAGGGGCTGGATCTCCGCAGAGCAGCTGAGGAAGCATTTGAAGTTAAAGATGTGCTTAATTCCACCTTAGATTCTGAGGCTTTAAAACAGACCCTGTACAGGCAGGCTAAGAACCAGGTAGGTACCCAGCAGAGCCCTCGTCCCTCCCTACACTTCCTCTTGACCTAGACAGTAAGTGGCCACCATACCTCATCACCAAATGATACCTGAGCATTCCCAGCTACAGTTATCTCAATGCCTGGAGGCCATTCAGATCCACAGCACACACACGCACACACACACACACACACACACACACACACACACACCCATGCCCACTGCATTGTCTAAAGAGATAGTCCAGCATCTGTAATCCCCCAGCACCCTGGTAGAGCAGGTGGGGGGGGTTGAAGACAGATAAACACGAGCTAGTTCTTTGGTCATGAGTGAGAGCCACTTTCCCACTCTGCACATCCCGTCCCCAATGGGGAGCAGCTGCCTGAGTCTCCTTCCCTCTGAGCTGGCAACCCTGCTGAAAGTCCCTTTCAGGTGATCGCTGCTTCCAAGATGGAGCTAAAACAGGGTCCTTGAGGGTGCAGGCTTGTCCTGGGCACTTTCTGTGCTCGCATCTCAGAGACAGTGGCCACAGGACTCTGCGGCCCATTGTTTGGACATCTAAAGGAGCTTGGCTCTCATTCTACCCCCGGCAGCCTTCCCAGCACCACCTCAGGATTCTCACCCCAATTCGTCTGCGTGTCTGTCTTCGTCTCTAACTAATTCTGTCTAGCGTTTGCTCAAGGGTAGAAGGGGCCCATATTGGGCTTCCATAGCACCCACCTGTAACACTATACACCACACAGCCCTCAGCCCTGGTACCTTCTGCCCTGTCCCATGCCTTGAGGCAGAGGGATACCCCCATGGCTGTCTGAGGCCAGCAAGCACAGCACATTACCTTATCATTTGCATCAGCTCAGAGACATTACTCCAAAAAGGAGCCCACCACAGTCATTCCGAGTCCCCCGGGCCTCCTGCCCACTAAACAGAGACAGTCTCACCGGCACAGAATTAAAAATAATTCTTGCCGACCCCCAACATGCTCCCAGAGCAGACACTTACCATTAGGTTTTTGCCAGTCACCGGGCAGAGAAACCGGGGCTTGCAGGGAGGGGGAGATGTGATTGGAGGGGAGCACCCCAAGAGTCCAAGAGACCCCAGTGGGCACAGAGGTCCCTAGAGGAGCTACTGGGTCCCGGTGTCACCCTGGGCAGGAGAGGTGCCCCTTGCTCTCCTCCACTCCTCTCTCCCCCTCCCAAGCCTGAGAGTCTGGGCCTCTCTAGTATCTTTGTTTTCCTTTATCCGCCTAGATTGGGAGGGAGCAGGGGCTGGGGTTATAGGTCAGACAGGCTGGGGACAGCGGGTGAGGCTCGGCCGGGCCTACTTGTCCAGGATGCCCCTCACCTGTCCTGTCTTTTCCCCACCAGGCATATGCAATGATGCTGTCCCTTTCCGAGGACACCCCTCTCCACGCCCCCTCCCAGAGCTCACTGGATGCTTGGTTAAACATCACAGGAGCCTCATCAGAGTCTGGAGCCTTTAACCCCATCAACCACCTCTGAGGTCCTGGAGGCCCCAGGGCCGGAGTCCAAAGCCAGGGAACCAGCTGCGGGAGATGGAGAAGGGGCCAGGGAAAAGTTCCTGGCATCTTCGTTTCGCCTCCCTCCGGCTTCCAGCCTCACCCACCATGGCTCACGTCCAGCTTCTCCAATGAAACTCAGAACCTGAAGGTCCCTCGAGTAGCCGCTGACCTTCACCACCTCTCAGAACATGGTCTGCAGTGGTGCAATGCACGGCCATCCAGGAGCTGTCTATCAGATAACTAGTGGGCAGGGGTGGGCTCTCTATCCCAATGGGAGCCAGTTGGCCACATCTGGGCAACTGCATGGTATGAAGGGAGGATGGAAACAAGGGGGCACGTGCTATGGAGAGAGACCTCGCAAACGATTTTTATAATGAAAATTACATGAATAACCCTTTTGGTAATCTTATTGACCAGAGAGTCTATTTAAGCATGTGGGTTTTAAAAATAGACAGTATTTTTTAAAAGAAAAAAATCAAAAAATGACTTGCAAAATGTTTTTTTAAAAGTAATTTTGCATTGCTTTGAATTCTCAGCAAGCCCACACCTGCCAGGACACCGATCACTGCTCGGGTGTACCCTTTATAATGTAGATAATGGAGAATTTTCTATCCCTGACCCGGTTTGTACAAGCCAAGGTGATTCTGGGTGTCCCTGACACAGGATATGGGGCATGGAGCTGTCTGAATGGCACGCTGACTACACAGGAATTCTTGGTCATGGTGCCTGTCTGCAGGCTTGTGGAGGTTGACTCACCCCATGAGGCCTGCAGAGGAATCCACCAGTCCCCACCCAAGACCCCCCCCAATTGTATGGGGAAGTCGGGAGCCGGTGGCTCAGGTCTTCCATGCTGGAGGCCTGGTGGTCTTTCCCCTTCAACAGCCCCAGTGCTGGCCCTGAGCGCTGCTCTTCCGAAGGCAGGGCCCTGACCTTCAGTCTTCTTCTCTCCCCAACCCTGGCAGTCTGGTGTCCTCCCCATGGCCACTGAGCATGGGGAGCCTACCCACCTGCTCCACCACCCAGGATGCCGAGCGATACCCGTGCCTAAGACTCCAGACCAAGCAACCACATAGCCACCATGTCTGCTCTTTGTGTGAGTTCCTGGTGACGTGTGGTCAGGATCAAAAGGAGGATCCAGGGAACCTGCCACAGCAAAGAGCAGAAACAAAACAGCCCCCCGGGACCAGATGCCTCGCTCCCTTGGGACGGTCGTGATGCGTCTACTTCTCTGCTTAGACGGGCTTTAAATTATTCCCATAGGGGCCGGCTTCAAATAACGGCTTTCTCTGATGGAATTTACCTTAATCTGTATATAACTTGTAGTTTTTCTAATTCATTTCTTTCCTTATTTTATTTCTTCCTTAACAGTATTTTTGGCATTGGACAACTTATTCTGAAGAAATGATGTTAATATAAGTATCTAGTGAAGGACCAAAACCGTGTGATATAAGGTTGTGTGCTGTGTGATCGATAACCAGGGAGTGGGGGCGGTTGTTAATGTGCCAAATACCCCTGCGTCCCTTCCTCGAGGAGTCCTGTCGTCACCGTTGCCCATTTACCAGACAATCATATGATTTTGTTAGATTTGAATTTTTAAGACAAGTGTTCTATTTATTTTATTGCTTTGAAGGAAAGAAAAAAAAATATGAATAACCCAACAAGAAAAGAGGAGGGAGGTCCTTCCTGGATTGCCCTTTTAAAAAAGTGAGAGGTAGCGTCAGTGTCAACAGCTAACGTCCAAGCAGGTGTGTTTCGTGAATTATGTGGCTGTCCCGGGGCAAAGACAATCATCTCTGCTGATGCTGTGTAGTCCAGGCTATGCTGGAGACCCGGCTGGGACATCCCTGAAGATGCCACCACCCTGCAGGTTCCAGTGAATAGTTGTGCGTGCGTGCGTGCGTGCGTGCGGCGTGCGTGCATCTGTGCCCAGAAGCACAGTCATGTGAGCAGGCTGGGGCAGCAGGGACACTCTTCGGAGGAACCTGCCCTGGCCAGGGTTGTAAGGATTTGTGGGCCCAACTCACAGGTCCGTGGCATCCTGTCAGTGGTGGGCTAGGCCTCGGCTTGGGAATTCCAGTTTCCTCTAGGTTGGAGCCACATGGGACCCTGTGTAAGTTCCACCTCCGATATACATGTCCCAGTTTTGTAAACCCCAAATTACATGCTTTCTTCTGAGAAAGAGTAACACGTGTGCTTTTTCTCTCCCCCGGGGATGTGATGTGGTTTCTCTCTCCAAAGTGGGGAGTCTATGTGGACGCAGACTTCTATGAACCTTTTGACAACAGCAGAGCAGCTAAACGCTCTCCCTTTTGTCCTCGCTGGCACCCCTGTCCTCTTTCTGGAACCATTCCCCCCCCTTCTCAAAAGTCCAGGCTGTGCTAAGTCATATCCTTTGCCCACACTCCTCCTCCAAAAAGTGAGGCTAGCAAGCCCAGGTTCTCTTGAATAGCCATCCCCTTGGGCCCGGCACTTGGAATTTGAAGGGCTTTGTCCTCGTCCCCCTGACAAAGACAGCACTTATCCCCAGCTTACCTTTACTGCATCCAAACATGATGCCTCCATACTACATTGCCCCCCATGCACTAAGCTCTGCCTACCTGACATGTCTGCACTCTTTCAGGGTCCAGCTGGCTCGAGCCAAGCATCAGGAGGCATGGGAGACCCTCTAGGGGTCAGGGAGCTGGACCAGGTGTGAATTCTAAGAGCCTGGCCACTGGAGAAGCAAACCGTTGCGGGGCTGTGCTGCCTGTTGCCATACAGCATAGATTGGCAGGACAAGTGTCCAGCCAGGACTGCTTCCCTAGTGTCCTACTTCCAATTGTTGGTACTTGCCTTCCAAAATAGAAATTCATAAGGAGACCTCCTAGTCTGCATTCTCTTCAGGCCCTGGCAAGGCCACACTCTTCCCCTGTTACTTCCGCCTTTCTTAGGAAGATCGGGTAGGAAACACGGAGCTTCACCATCCTGCAGGCAAAGTGAGACACGGAGCATCCCTGTGCAAACCCAGGGATGGGTAAGCACCACATGGCTGAACCTGCCCTTACCTTGTAAGACCAGGAGAGCAGAAAATCTCCCCAGACCCTGACTGACCTAACCCCTCTGCTTCTCAGAGTCCAGACTCACAGCCTTTTCCTTCCTCTGCCTCATCTGCTTCCCCTTTGAGTGTTTGTGAAGTACTTGCTTAGTTACGTATCATGCGTTTTGGACACGAGCACTGGATCGTGGTCCCTGTCCTGTCCCCCTGTCTCCCTGCCCAAGTGATTGAAACGTACTGAGCTGTCCACTGTGCTGTTGCAGGTAGGGAAGAGGAGGCCCACTGTACTGCTGTTGGGACAGGAGTGTGGGAAGCCTGTGATGGACCACACTCACTCTTGCCAGCAGCAGATACTGGGACACTCCTATCCACAGAGATCAGCCGGGTATCAAAAAGCCATGAAAACTGTCTCTGTAGCCTTGAGCGATACTGTGACGAGACATTCTTGCATTATTTCCAGATAAGTTCCTTTCTCTCACCGTTCCAGGCATCTGTTTGTTTAATTTCTTTCTGTCACAATTCAGATCACCACTTCTAGGAGGGGAAAGGTTGAGTCCAGAAAGGCAGCTTGAATTTCTAGACATGCGATTCACTCGCAAACGGGGGAAGCTGGGGATTTCCTTCGGTGCCTCCCGCAGCATGGGGGAAGCGGGCCCTGGTGTCCGAATAAGTAACTTAAAGCCTGTGTGTGTGCATGTGCGTGCGTGCATGTGTGTGTGTATGTGTGCGTGCGTGCCTGCGTGTGTGTGTGTATGTGTGTGCATGTGCGTGCGAGTGTGTGTGTGCGCGCGCACGTGCGTTTGCGCATGTGTGGTGTGTGTGTGTGTACTTTGAACCAATAGTATATAAATAAATATATATATATATATCCCTGACACCTGCGAGAATCTTGAACCTGTAAGAGTGTTGCCATTGTTACATTCAGATCTGATTCAGTTTGTTTTCTGTTTTGTTTTGTTTTGTTTTTTTCTTTTAGAACTATATAGTGTTGAGAAAGAAATCAAATGTAAATGTCTGGTTTTCATATAATGTTAAAAAAAATTTAAAACCATTGAGGAGGAGGCTGGTGTCTGTCCTCGCCTCCTTCCTTGTAAATTGCTGTTGTGTTGATAAAGCTGTGCATGGCTCGTGTTTAGCGGTCACTATTGTGTCTGTTTGTGAGATTTTTTATTACGAGGAAAATCCCGTAGATGCACTTATTGAATATGTAATTAGGGTCTAAGTCAAGGCCAAGAGGCCCGAAATGCCCAGGAAAATGGACCACAGTTCCTGATGACTATGAAAGTCGCCGTGGGAGAATCGTGAATTAAGAAGACACGATGTAGAGAATAGTCAAAAGTGATTTTTGCAGATCTCATTCTGAGGCTTGTGGCAAAGACAGACGTACTTGTGTAGAGATTTCTGTAAGGTTAAAAGCCAGGAGAGGCTGGCTTTGAGGTCAATGCTGTAGAATAGGACGGACTGGATACCAAATGTAATCTTTCCAATGCTACAATGAATTTATACATGAGATTGATATGCAATAAATCTGTGTGTTTTCTATGTCTTGTTGAAAGTTTCATTAAGGGGAAGCCTGGCCTCCGAAGTGGGTTAAGAGGGGTGGCCCCCAATCCTAGAGCAAGTGGGGTCCAGATACGAAGCAAAGCCACCCTCTCTGCTAGAGCCGAGACCCTGGCCGTGTTCGCTTACCTTGCGTTACACCCAAGTGTGCCTGGAGCTGCCCCAGTAGATGAACAGGGTTGAGCAAAGACCCCAGGGCTACCGGGGAGCAGGCTTGACTTCCCCCAGGGGCTTCTCTGGCCTCACCCAAGGTGCCTCTCCTATGGAGGCCCAGGGATGTCCCTCTCTCTGCAGTCCACCCCCTCCAACATCTGATCCCCAACGTGGGTCTGCTGGGACCGAGAAGCCTGCAGTGAATAACCCTGAGAAGATGAGTGCCCACTGTTTACGCCTAGCAGTCCAAGTGTAGCTCACCATGCATCTTAAGGCAGAGGCTCGCTCCCGTCTTAGGTGAACGGCCTTGCCTCCCACTGCCCACCT